AACTGCAGTCACCCTGAGGTCCTGTACAAGACAGCAGCGAGGCAGCTTAGGTTCCAGGCAGCAGCAGGACAGCGGCACCAGCAGCTTCTCTTGGCCCCAAGGTGCGAGCGAGCTGCCTGCCTGCCACGGAAGGTACGGGAAGGTGGGAACAGGAGGGATGCTGCAAGTGGCAGGGGGAAGGGATAAAGAACAGGATTCACAGTTACAAGAGGGAAAACGAGAGACAGAGCTTCACTCACGTGCTCTGCAGGGCCTGGGCTCTGCCCCACTTGATCAGACTGCGGCAGGTCTTTCCCTTCCACAAAGAGCCGAAGCAGCTGGATGTACAAATCGAGCGCCACGTAGAGGAAGGTCTGCTCTCGAGTCAGCAGCTCTCGGTGAAAGCCAGGGGTGAGGCTAGAGAAAGTCACACGCCGCATCTGGTTAGCACCGGTAGGCTCAAAACACGGAAAGACACAAGGCAAACGCGCTGGCGCCGGTGCCGCTGTCCGTTTTACACGTCCCATTGTGTGCAGGGCCACCCCGCTGCCAGGAGGGGGAAGGCAGCCAGGGACACTCCTGTTTGGAGCACAAAGCTGAAGGGAAACTTCTAGCAAAAGATACGGGCTCCTTAAATAGCAATCCTGCCGCCATCAAGTATTCTCTCCCGCAGAGCTACGCGGTACAGTTAGCTCTGCACCAGCGGCTGTACGTGCAAACCATCAGCCACATCATCCCTCTCGAACGCCTCCCGAGCCCAGCCGGACGTTACCTGTAGAACGCAACAGGCAAGAGCCGGAGGTGACGGTCCGAGGCTGCGCCACGCAGGACACGGTATTTTCCAGGTTCTGCAATAGCCAGAGAGAAGCACTAAGCATTTTTAGTGTTCCTCGCCTTGCACGCTGCTGCAGCAGCACAGGGGCTGCACAGTTTCCTTCCAGCCCACATTAAACACGAGTGCTTAGGTGCGGGGACCCCTGAGAGAGGCAAGCTGTCCCCTCTGAGGCTTTCTCTACTAGAGGGAACAACACTGAGTTTCAGTCATTCCTGATCATCAGCTGGATCACCGTACTGCAGGGTAGAAGCATGATGTTCTCAGTTTTTACTCAAGCGACTATTTTTCGTGCTGCTTACAAAGGCCCATCTGCTCCTTCTTACAGGTACACTCAATCAGAGAGATGGGGCATGCCTGTCCAGCGCCACACCTCGCCTCTCCACCCCTCGGACGCAGGACTCGCTCACCTTTCTCTGCCGAATGGAAGAGACGTGGCCAGGACATGCCCCTGGCTTCCAGGCACTGCAAGATCTCCAGGGACCATTCCAGAGATGTCTGAAAATCCACTCCTTCCTGGGTGTCAGAAAGGACAAGTCTTTGTCTTAGGCTTTAGTTGCATCAAAGCAGAAAGAAACCCCTCATAAGAGACTGCGTACCCAAAGTGCTCTATTAAAGGACCTTTATGAATTTAGCCCAAGTCTTTCCCCTCGCCTGGCAGCCTGGATTCCCCTGGGGGAATCAGGCCCTGAAGTAACACAGCGCCTTCATCGCCAAGCCAGGCCACAACCGGGCTCAGCTGAGAGTGATTTGAGAGAGGGGGGGAAGCAGTATTGATGAGCAACCGGCTGGTCACCAGCACGCTTCCCAGCAGTGCTCAGCACAGAGCCACTGCGCATCCCACACTGACCTCACCCTGCTCCCCAGAGCAGGTTTTTTTTCCCCACTAACGCATCTAGTGACAGCATGTCTTGGGATTGGGGGTTTTTTTTTGCATTACTCATTTTTACTTGGAATAACCTCCCAGATCTGTTTGCTCAAGATGTTTCTTTCCTCAATGACTCTTCCTCCAGACTCTCCCAGAGGCAGACTATGAGACCAAATGATTATTTTTAACTTGAATCTGCTGCCCAATCCACTCTATTAGGTGACTACACAAATGGCTGCACTTCAAAGCTGAGAAGACAGCAAAGGGACAGAAGCAAGCATTCCTAGACAGGAGGATGCTTAGGGCAGACAGCTGCTGGAAGAAACTTGTCATCTTTGCTCCTCCTTCATTTAATAGCATTAAATCATTTGGAAACCAGTGTTCCTCCTTGCTGGGGACCCTTTCTCCTGTGAAGTACCACGTACATTTCCAGCCTGAGGAAAAACGTCATCTAACAAATTTGAAATGCTACACTAAAGCTAAGAGAGAGAGATGAGGTTCCTGCACTACCTGGGAGGCACAAAGTCTGAACGGGGAACTGAAAATAGTGAGTCATTCATGAAGAGAAAGAAAAGCTACCATAGTGAAAGGGGAGATAATGTCACTTAGAGGAAAATACAGGTTTAATCTGATAGGAACAGAAGGGCTTTCAGCAGGCTCTGTCTGGGATGTCACTGATCCCCTCCTCCTGGCAGAACAAGCTACCAGCCTTTACGGCACAAAGCATTTTTAGGCGGCAAACCAAGCAGATCAGACACATTTAGTGTCATGAGAATTTCCTCAGGGCTGAATTTACCTTTGGTGCTATTTTTGCCGAGATGAGATCCACGAGTGAGAAGAACAGCAGAGAAACAAGAAGCTGCAAGGAAAAGAGACTGCCTGTTAGTGATATCTGCAGTGGTGACTCAGAACTTTCACTTTCCAATCAGGAAATAACATTTCACAAAGTACATTCCCAGGATGGACCTGGATGAACTGCCGTTCCTTCCAGGTGAAGGCAGCGTGTTTGAAGATGACAGACTGCAGCCTGACATTGTTCTTGCTTCTAAGGTAAATTCCACACTAAATCCGCTGCTCTTGAAGCAAGGCTTGCTGCAGTCAGCAAGGCAGACAACAGATGACAACTTCTCCCAAAGGAGAGAAACCGAGCAGGGAAAACCAAGCGAGCTACCACAGATGTAAACCTGGAGGAGAGCTAGTGCTGGTCCACAGCCGGCATGCCACCAGCAGCTGCTGTGCAGCCTCCCGTCTCAGCAAGCGCATCGCAATCCCGCCCTGACATACGCTTGTTATCGCTTTTCTGGATCCACATCGCCTCCTGGCACCCTCCTCCTAGCTCAAGACAGATTTTTGAGGTGAAAGCTGCTGTTATTCCACATGTACTAAATGCTGCTATCAACTCGGTGGCACCAGTTTCTGACTAGCAGCTTTTGGCTCTAGACCAATATAAACAGTGGAGGAGTCAATCCCGTAGCAAGAGGAGCTGCTACCGTAACTGCTGCCCACGGCAATAAAGCTTAAGAGTAAATAGTAAGGCACAGGTTCTGCTTCAACACTATCTACCTGGGAATGTCTCGGTACAGGGACACTCCCCATACCGAGCTCCGGTCCCAGCTATCCTCTGGAAAATCGACAGACAGAACTGCTGGGCAGCAGCCCAGCTTCCTCCTCAGCAGAGCACTTTGGAGAATTCCCGTGCACGGAGGACACTGAGCATGGCAAAACGGAGGAGGCATTTCCTGGAACAGACTTGAGAAAACCCTCAGGAGGTCTGTTCCCAGGATTCCCAGCACGTCTTCCCAGAGCCCTTAAAATGCTGGCACTCCTGCCTCACAAACTTTCTGCATCTCCTTAGCCTCCCAGCCAAGCTGCCTGAGCCAAAATCCACAAGAACTGCCCCTTTGTCAGAGGGAGAGGTCATCCTGGCGTGCCATGGATCGAGCTCTCAGTCTCTGCAGTGTTCTCTCCCACTTCAGTTTTTAAAGCAGCTGTTTACAAGTCCTCCCTGGCTTCACAGCGGAGCCAGTATCTGAGTTAAAAGTTTAAGTCTGGAACAATTTTGCCTCTAGGATAAGTGTTTATCAACTGGTAATTTACAGCTACATTTTATCAATTAGCCACCAGCAAGACTTCACAGCAGGGTTCACCAGGGATACAGCTGTATCTCAGGACAACCATTTCTCAGTTAAAGACATTTCCACTTCTAGTTTCCAAAGTGCAAGGAACAGCAGACATTTAAAATGCGTCGTCTTGCCTGCTCTGTGTCAGTCCCCAGCCTCTTCAGTGCATTTCTCTCTCGTCCGCGTGGTGACTGCTGTTGAACAGTACAAT